GTTGAGGACTAAACCGGTCGTAAGTCGAGGACTACCCAACCGGTCGTAAGTCGAGGACTTTCCCTGCCCGGGAGCACCGCGCATGCGTGGTTCCGCCCCCTGCGCCGGCTGAGGCGTAGCTGGCAAGCGGCAGAGACGGAGCAGGCCGACCACCAGCTGGCCCAGCCCAAGGGAGGTAAGGCACCCGCCGGAAAAGGGGGAAAAAATGGCGGACAAAAAAAATGGCGGACAGCCTTGCTTGGCAACCCCCATGAAATGGTCGATCGACCCCAAATGGGGTCCCGACCCACAGGTTGAGAACCACTGAAGTAGAGATTGATTATTTTGCCTTCCATCTATCTGGTCTTCATTTCTGTTATAAATATACATACAGCATGTAACAAGGGTTCCAGAGTACCACATAATGGGCTCTGTCTGACCAAGGGAAACTTAAAAATTATAGTCAGCATCAACAATCTCTTGTTTGGAAAATTTACCAGCATTCTGCAGCATAGAATCTCATTCTTTCAAAGAACAGGATACTTGCTGGCTTTTGGTTTGTAGCATGCTGGCTGATTTTCTCTACTCATGAACCCCACTAGGAAGAACGTTCTGCCATTTAATCCTTGCTACCGATGATGTTAGAAAGGCCTCAGACAATTGACTTAGCATCTCTCCATCTGACTGAGGCCAGATTGGGAAGGATTCATTTCTTTGGGGCAATGAGGATGTCGCTAGTATGCTTGTTCCCAAAAGAATCAAATAAAATAGCCCCTTTAGGAATTCCTAGAGAAACAGAGCAATTTAGAGGCAAAGGCCTGCTGCTTGTGTATATGTGTATGCTTTGTTATTCTTGTTGGCATACTGTTTATTATTGTTAAGTACATACAGTATCTACGGGTGTTAGTGCTGGTATATGCTGCAAGATGGGTGTATAAAAGAATGAGTTTTCAAGCAATGGAAGATGTATCATTGGGAGCACAATTAATCAAATCAAGAAAAATCACAGGCTAAATGTTTGAAAGCTGTCTTATTTCCAAATCAAGAGTTCCAAGCCAGTTTATCTTCTGTTATTCTGGTGCTGCTTTTAGAAACTAGGTCACTTTGTTACTAAAACACGTTCTATTTGTTAATAGATAAGTTTGACATACATTATCAAAAATTGGGTGGAGACGTTGATAGAATTGACTCTCATCCTCTTTGCTCATTTGGGTATTAATTTCAGATCAACCTAGTTTGGAGGGCCAAGGAGGAATGCTGATATTTTCATAAAGATTTCATAATTCTTTAAGGAAATACTCAATGTTTCTGTGTTTTGGGTACTGTATATTAATATTTGTATATTGTGTATTAATATTGCTGGCATATTAATCATCAAGTTATCCAACAACCTCTCTGGCTAAATTGGCTGAAATGGCCTTAAGAGGTGACAGTGAAGAAGCAAGAAACATTAATTTAGACTCGTAACATAGCTATTTGGCAGAACTGTTTCAGGTAGTGAAAAGACTCTTCAACAGTGACCCAGTAATGACAGCTCCTGAAATGTTGGCTTGTTCACTATGGTGAATTTGCTAAGGAAGTGCATCTGTTATAGCTGAATCTGGGGAGATGTGTAGATCACCAACAGTTCATGTTTTAGGGGACCAGTTTCAGTTTCCGAGAACTGAGGACAGCAATATGTTCAACCTATCACCTATAAATTTATTTTTGTCCATTTTGCTTATTAAATCTAGCAGACAAGAACTGATGGTATTGATCCAGGGACAGGCAAATGCCTTAGAGCAGGGGTCCCCAACCTGTGGGCTATGGCCAACTACTGGGGTGTGGCCTGCGGGCCACGGAAAAGCCTGACCAGCGTGCGTACGTGTGTGCATGCACTCATCCCCACTCGCGCTAATGCCGCTGCCACTCCAAAATCCGGGTGCCGCACAGTGAAAATGGGTTGGTGCTAGCACCTGCGCGGTGAAAACGGGGTGCTGCTAGCGAGTGTCACATGGGCGCTAGCACCACCCTGTTTGCGTTGTGCATGCTTGCGGTCCTGTTTGTGGGCGCGCATGTGCGCGCGTGTAAAATGCTTCACCCTCCCTTTTCCTCTGGTCCGCCAACCGAGAAAGATTGCAGACCTCTGCCTTAAAGTATCTTCTCTAAAAGAAGTGGTAGTTTAATCTTTTCTAAAGACCATACTTTAGACTTGGGAGATACTTGAGAACCATTGCTCTATTATCAGTGCTTTTTTTGTAAAAAAAAAAAAAAGTGCCGGAACTCACACATGTCATACAATCTGCCTTGCCTACCTGCAAGGTTCCATCCAAAAAAGGTGCCGGAACTCTGTTCTGGGCGTTCTATGACAAAAAAAGCCCTGCCTATTATACATATTCTTGCTTGGGCAAAATGCTTGAGAGGATGATAGACAATTTATTTATGAGTTATTGGAGAACATTGGTACACTAGACCTGCTTCAGTTTGCTTTCAGGCCTGGTTTGGCACTGAAGTTACTTTGGTTTCTTTACTACATGACAGATTATATGGGAAAGACTGGATGAGTGCAACTTTCTATTCTCTCGCATTATTTTTCAATGGCTCTATGCCCATTCCAGGAAATATTGAGGGGCTGCAGAGTTCCTGGCTCCAAGCTCTGGGTTCTTACAAGGATCTATTTTATCATTCTTGTTTAATATCTATATTAATTCATTGGTGCAGTAATCAGTAGATGTGGGGTTAAGTGTCACTTGTATACTGATGATATCTAGCTCTAACTGGTACAGGTTTTTTTGTAGAGTACTTTCACCTGGAATTTGATCAATCAGCAGAAGTTGAATCCGACAAGATCAAAACTCTGTAGATTGATGGTCTAGGAATTGGAAAAATCTTCAATTCTGAGGGAATTACTACTATTTATTCCCTATGAAGGAGTTGGTACACAGTCTTGGGGTATTAGATTTTCTTCTCTCACTTGAATCCTGGCAGCTGCAGGGACAGTCCATGTCCTGATAACATATATTTGAATTACTGCAATGAATTTGATGTAGGCCTGTGATTCTGGGTCTGTTCTTGAAGATGACCCAAAAATTGCTGCTAGTATAGAATGTAGAAGTGATTACGGCATTACTTACTTTACTTAGATTTATTCCTATATTTTGATTTTATAGTTTATAACTGCCACAGGTTTCTTTGAAAGGTTTCTTTGAACAGTGGCTAGACAATAAGATTTTTAAAGAAATAAATGTCTATTAAGCCTAATGTTAAGGATTGGTTCATTTTAAAAATATTGCAATAATGACTGCAGATCAGAGCTCAATAGGAAAAAAGCTCAGAAAAAAATCCCATATAGACAACATCTTAAAAAGTGGTGTCTTTGAAGTGAAGTCTACTTAGAGAACAGCGTATAAAACCAATATGACATTTATATTATAACATAAACATTTTCATATGCATTATTTCTAGGCTGTCAGAAATGTGGAATCTCAGTCACACTCTTTCTGGAATGGAAGACAGATCAGCTCTGTAGAATTAACTAAATGTAGCTTTTCATAAAGACTTGATCTTTCCCGCCCATCACCCCCATTGCTTATCCCCCTGCACGCAATGACATTTGGATCCTAGGCATTCCAATCTGGAGGGAACCTTTTTATAGTCTTCTTAGTGGGTGGAAATGGCAGCATGTTCAGTGATGAGTATTGTAGAACACCATGTAATTTGCTAGTTTTTCTCAAAACTGTGTTTAAAGTCATTCCTTCAGTCTGCTTATCAATTGATTGAGGCAGCCTGCATGTCTAAGAGTGCTAGAACGTACTGGCTCTTATAAAGTGAGTCTATTGAATGTGGATGCTAAAAATAGATAGCAGCAATTATTATTTTTTACATAAATCCCCCCTCCCATTCATCAAATCTGAGAGGATTAGATGAGTCAATGACTTGGGTCACTATTTTGTTTCACTTGAAATGATTGCTATGTACAGATAGAGATGAAATATAATATCCGTGGGTAGCAATTTGTGGACATGCACCTGCTATAATATTCTTTAGAAAAAAACATTTCAATGAATTACTCAGTGATTCACAGTGGAACCTGTGGAAATGGTAATATAGCTAATCTATCTTCTTCCTAAAGAAAATTGGTTAAGAGTGGATTATATTATA